GGCATTAAACAAAAACAATTCACACAAAAAATTCTCTCTGTCGGTAACTGTGTTAATATTGTACTTTAGCATATCCTTACAACGACATACGAACAGGTAGTACATGCACGAAGTGTTTTTTGCATATTTATGCAATAATCAAAGGTATCATGCATCCATATATGAATAGTAAAACATGAATTTCAGCACAGAACGAATAAAACTACATGTATACGGGAATGAATTAATTTGAAAATATTTGACAATTCATTTTCCTGCGATTTTACAGAAATCATTTTATTATTTTATTATTTCCGACAATTCAGGAACAGTAGTAACTTGTACTACCCTATCAATGCCCAGTTAATCTTGCTTAAACTGCTTAAACACTGAACCGTGTATGACGTCGAACACACAAATTTGATGGTCCCATATAAAGCAGACAGTTTACTGCCTGTGTGGTGGCCCAATAACAGGGGAAGCCTCCAATATAACGTGGATATTGCCGTGATGAAGACATGAGGCCGTATTTAGCACCTCGCTGTCAATGAGCATTAAGTCTCGCTCATTGCCATCAATATAATTTACTCCCAGTGAGTTTGTGCAAGGGGTCATTGGTCGGAATAAGTCTCACACTGTGTGCATGGTAGAGGATATGGTCTATTTAGTCTGAATCAAGGTACCATTTGTGAAGAAGCGTAGCTTTATTTGATTTAGTGCCTATAGCGATATCGTCTGAGCCCCAAGACGTATAATTCCTCCGATGTTTAGCCGTCGCAAATTAATGGATTAATTTTAATAATTTAACAAAGTGTATTTATAACGCGCCAAATTCCATTGAATTTATGCTCATAGTTTTACATTATAGAGATGTAAATTACATAATTAACAATTAATTATTAATTTCCTAATAAATTTTAGGATGTGAACAAACTTAGATGTGTTTTTGGTACCAGACAAACCAGTGATAAATATTATGAGCAGCGTCATCGCCACAATTAACCAATCACCAAGGCTGGTCCGTTTAGTCACTCTGGATGACAAGCATAGGTTGCTGGAGACATAGTCTACATGAAATCACCAAAGGGTTGTGCAATGTGCACTGTGTATGATAAACTCACGTATTTTAACATTTTATTGAATGTTCTGCGTGTCTCACAGGCCTTTGTTCCGATATTGTATATTTCCAAATGATTGTTTTATGAATCATATTACGTGAGATATAAAGGAAACTATTCTTCTCGGTTAGTTATTATGTGTTTCATTTTCCATTGAAAATTTCAATTAAATTAGCAGTTTATTTAAAATAACTGTACTACGGATTAGCACTTACAAAATACTTCTACATGGTTTTATTTTTTTAAATGTATTTTTATTTAAAACTTTTTAAATGGGTATCTTAGACATCTTATTTTACAAAAATCAATAAATTTGCTTTTTCTTCCGGCACACATTACAACATTTCAAACAGTAGGGGCCATGTGTTTGCAAACCACTGTCTTCATTGAACCAATCTTTTTTTACACAAATTTACCAAGCTACAGATTACTTTATCACAAATTGTTAAAGGAATGAGTGATGATTAAATACTAGACATAATCAAATTTAAGAACAGTTCTTTCAATTTTCAATTACATAAAAAACAGTCTCGGTATACTTTATTTGCCCATCAGTTTAGTATGTGGCATATAAATAATAAATCAGTATTTAATTATTTTTATTTAAATATCTGGATGTACAATCAAGACTTTTATTAAGACAAGCGGTTGTAATTATCGTCAGTGAAATATACAAATTAACGTAACTGGCGACTGAAGAAAGTGCGCAAGATTAAGGTCTGAACAAACGAAAATTAAAAGCGACAAAGCCAGGCAAATAATCATTTAAAAAATGTCTGCTAAAAGAAGAGTCCATTATATGGTTCTGACTATAGCAAAAGCATGTGTTTATAAGTCAAAATAGGGAATAAAGGAATTTATCAAAACACCTTAGAAAAGTGTGTAAAAATGATTAGATGCATAATTCCCATGTAGACATCAATTCCTTTAAATGAGGGATCTAACTGTCTTCAGACGTATCTGTAAGTCATAATTTGTTATATTTAATGATGAAGAAATGATAATGAAGTGGTAAGGTTTTATTCAGAAGACGGGACAATTTATATAACACTGTTAAATTGAAATGTTAATTTCTTAATTTTCAAATTTTCCATTGACAGATTATATATGAAAAAGTGTCAAAAGTGTTACGCACTTGTGAATCACCAAGCGAGAAGTCACACTTCATGAACAGGTACGTCGTGTACGAATCCAGATGGTCACGTGATCTCAGGTACACGTCACTCCCCATGGGTCCTCACACAGATGGGTGTGTCAGCATGACAGGGGTCGGGGGGAATGCGTCAAATATGTTTATTTAAATTGAGAAACCATTGACAGTAAGTTATGATTTGAAAAATGCATAGTTCTTATACATCCATAATATGTATTTATGTGAATAGTGTATTCTCGCTTAGTACACGCAACACGTGTTACACCTAAACCTTGGTGGTTCATCTCAGCAATAGGTTTCTAATGTCCCCTACTTTTATCTACTTCAGCTGATCTAGAGGTATTTAAGAATCGATAACTATGATTAATGCGTTTATAGAGTATAAACGTAAAAATCGGTATCAACACAGGTTTTTATATCTATAATGCCATAAACGCAAAAAACATATTTTAGTCAATTCTTAAATACGTCAACAATAATAACTGTACAGACTGCTTAAGTTATGATTAACACAAAAATAACTTCAGACAAAACGCAGTCAGTGGCATCGTCCAGCCAAATAATGCAAAGTAGACACAAGCGGTCCATTCTATCAACCGATAGAGTAACAGTAGTCCGTTAGTAGGCTTGCAATGACCTAATCATTTTTCGGTTTATGGAAAGATAAACGCCAAAATTGCTTGGTTAGTCAATCAAATGCGACGGAATAACCTGCATATAATTTATAGTTTCATAGTCCATGACATAGTACATTATCAATTTTATCATGCATGTTCAAACATATAAAAGTATTTTTCATAACATAACTCCGATTCAGTAATTTCTAAAATCCAATTAAGTTATTATACTTATGAAAGCGTTTGTCTCAGATACTAAATCAAGCTGTGTCAGTTTGAATGTCCAATTAAATACTAGTTACCGTCGAGAAATGGCATAGAGTAATAAACTGATGTCCAAAGAAACTTTACCAACTGAAAATATAAATTTCAGACAAAGTATATTTATTTTTTTCCGATGAAGTCTATCTAAAACACATAACCTAAATACAACAATAGTGTATGCAGAAAATGTTAATCGTCTGTTACATGTTTGCGAGATAACACGCGAAAAAGTGAAAAACACGGACAACGGACCACGGACAACTGCAAATGCACCTGCGGGTAAAGGTATAAAACGATTGCAACGGCAAGTCAGACAACCCCCCCCAAAATGCCACGACTCACAATAGAACAACGTGAACGAGCCTTGGGTATGGTACAGATGGGAGCCACCTACACAAAAAACACGGACAACGGACAACGGATCACGGACAACTGCAAATGCACGTGCGGGTAAGGGTATAAAACGATTGCAACGGCAAGTCAGACATCCACAGTGATAAAAAAAAACACAAAAGAAATGCCACGACTCACAGTCGAACAACGTGAACGAGCCTTGGGTATGGTACAGATGGGAGCCACCTACGCCCATATTGCACGAACCTTCAGTTGCTCCCGTGTTGCCGTTACCAACTTGATGCAACGTTACAGACAGACAGGGCGGACCGCTGACCGCTGCCAAGAACAGGCAGACCCAGGGTGACCACGCCCCATGATGACCGGTACTTGCGTACCTTGCACCTCCGAAATCGCTTCCTGACAGTGACGTCATCGGCGACAAATGCCTTAGGTCACAGGGTTAGTCGACAGACAGTGGCCAGGAGACTCAGGGCTCATGGAATCAGGGCTTTTAGACCATACAGAGAACAGCTATTGACAGCGCAACATCGTCGTCTGCGATTGAGATGGGCCCGGACTGTACGACGTTGGCAACGACGTGACTGGCAGAGGGTTGTCTTCACTGACGAAAGTCGATTCTGTATGTTTAGGGCTGATGGAAGACAACGTGTTTACCGTCGAAGGGGTGAACGAACGGCGGCGTGTTGCGTGCAGGAGGTCGTACCATATGGTGGAGGGAGTGTCATGGTGTGGGGAGGGATCTGTGGGCAGGAGAGGACACCGCTGGTCGTAGTTGACGGAAACTTGACAGCTCAGCGTTACATGAATAACATTCTTCGTCCAGTTGTCCTACCATTTCTCCAACAGCAGCCCAGCCACGTGGTGTCATTTATCAGCATGACAACGCTAGAGCCCATACAGCCAGAATTGTCACTAACTTCCTCGCAGCTAACAACGTCAACGTCCTGCCGTGGCCTGCACGCTCACCCGACATGTTCCCCCCATAGAACACCTCTGGGACTTGATGGATCGTCGTGTTCGACAACGACCACACTCTCCAGCCAACCGGCAAGAACTGATCTTGGCCCTCCAAGAAGAATGGCGTCAAATCCCACGTGACCTTATCAGACGACTGACTTTTTCTGTGCGTCGAAGAGTTTTTGCGTGTATTGAGGCATCTGGTGGTCACACACGCTACTAATGACTTGTTATTGAGCGTGAGCGATTGTTTATGTACTCTGCCTATTGTCCATGATTCTGAAAGCTCGAGTTTTGTACAACACCCAACTTTGGGGGGGCTCTGACGTCATTCTCGGGCGCGGTATGATTGTCATTTTCAGTGTTGATTATGTTGATATATTGATCTTCTCAATACACTTTACTTCATGCATGTATGTTTTGTTGTTTTTGAGCAAGAGTGATTTCAAACTCTGGTAAAGTTTCTTTTGGACGTCGGTTTAGTTCTCGCGTAACACGAAGTCTTTTTTTGTGTGTTTCTTTGCCGACCTCCCATACCAATTCGCGTCACTCAGAAAAAAATATAAATCAGGATATTACAAAAGCAAACAAAGGGCACCGTTGTTTACTTGTATACTTGTACATAGGTACACATTCCAAATTCAAGTCCTGCTAGAGGTGAGGGAATCCATCAAGCTAGTCCTCACTTTATTGTCTTGGTTGGCAGGTGAAATCTAACGCTGTGGCATTGTTCCTAATGGTGGGGTCTGCTGAATGGGCGTGCAGGTTCGACATTCCAAGCTGAAAAACATGATACGAGTATGTTAACATGATTTATTAAGGAGAAACAGTATTTATGGCCCAGCCAGTTTCAACATTATAGATAAATATAAAACGTCAACGCCATACAGTCTCGGTAATCCAACGAAACAGATTGGGCGTAAAAGGAAAATAGCAGGGAAAATTATATGAATCACTGAAAAAAGGCCACGTGAAAAACGTTTCCTGCTTCTCATCACCGACCGACTCTGAACATCGTCACGTGTTTTTAATTTTATTTTCAATTTTGTTTATAGATCCTGTTCCGCATTTTGGAGTTGCACCTTCTGGTGAAAACCGTAATGCATGTCGACCTGCGATGACGTTCGTGATCTATGTTTTTATATATAACACACTCTCGGCTTGTTTGTATATTTTAGGAGTTTGGGGAAATTGGATTAAAAATTCGACCAATTTCCTTTCTACAAAATGTGATGAGATACAAGAAGCTTCTGTTGGTTGCTTAACTTTATTTTTCAAGAATTAAGTGAAATCTGAGTTAAATCAGACTTCGTGGAAACGAGACTTGACTACGGTTTAGTTCAAATAGAAACAAATAACAATGACATAGACTATTGTGGTAAAATCTTCCTTTGCTACATTGTTATTGCTTTGTTTCCATAAACTATTTCCATTTCTTTGGCAACACTCACAATACCCAATGGTTTGGAAACTGAAATCATTCATATTACATTTCTGGGGATTTTACGTCCGCATTAATTGCTCACTCCCAAACGAACACGTGGGACAAAGATAGCAGTTACCCACCTTTTACGTATCAACAGCCTTTCTCATCCCTCGTGGATAATTTTAGAACTAGGCCTAGGGTGTGTGGGTGCATTGACGTATTGACGCCACTTTAAACATTATTTCAGTGATATATCGCGACGTAGAAGGATAGCCGATATGCAGGTTGTATGCATTTACCAGTATGGTGAAACGAGCACAGGTATGGTGCCTGCAGACAAAGCATGATAATTTGTGTTGATAAAAAATGAAAACGTCAAAAACAAGCGGATCCTGTTGCCAATGGACGTTACTCTGCACACATAGTTGCGGCAGCATATGCTTTTTGTTTGTTTGCAACTGGCCCCGTCACCCTCATACATCCTGTCACAAGAAAAGGAAATAGAATTCGTCAACTTACTTTATCGGATAAACTTTAATCGGTGATTTCCTTTTGCATAGGATTACGCAACTAGATATAAGCAGACAGAAGGACAGTATTCCGACCATGCTCTGAAGAAGAAGGAGCTCGGTCCGGGTCTCGCACGTCACAGCTCCTACCACGTCGGCATGAGAGGCATCACTGACGGTGTTCACGTCGACACTGACCCAGCCGTCAATGTACCGGTCAGGTTGTCTAAGGTCGTACGCCTGAACGTGTAAGTTATTGTAGACAGACACATATTTGTTGAATGATGAAGTAGTAGAGACTCGCCCAGTTCCGGCATCAATGGTGTATGCTCCAATAACTTCATGTTGTTTCTCTGTAACAGGTAAGGTTGTCGATTACTCAATGTTTCATCTGAGTCTACGATAACCCACGGAAATTAACCCCGTGGATTGGTCTTAATTCAGACTAACGGGATCACATGGTCTGGTTCGCTGACATGGTTTACGCATGTCATCGTATCCCAATTAGGTAAATCGATGCGCATGATATCAATCACTGGATTGACTGGTCCAGGCTAGATTATTTACAGACCGCTGTAATACAGGTGGAATATTGCTGACCGCAAAATAACAAACAAACAACAACATGAAAATAATCTCCAATAATACCAATAACAAAAGCAGTGGACGCGGTTGTAAATAGTATCGCACCAGAGCTAGTCAAGGGATATTGGAGGATGTGCCATGTCTTATATGCGTTAACCACTTTCGTGAAACAAAATTGTACTGTTGACAAACCAACTTCAATGGTCGTGATCTCTGGTACGAATCCATTCTTATCGAATCCTGGGCTGCGTTTCCCAAAGCGATCGTACTTCTACGACTATTGTTATTCAACTTACGTTAGTCGAAGCGCTACTATAACAAACAATCAATCAATCAAGAAATAGGCCCCTGGAATTAAAAGTGACCACGTTGTTCAGCGACGTGCCCTGAACTATTTGAACTTTAAACCTAGCTTTAATACCGAATTATTAAATAATATAATGGTTTTCTGATTTTTGTAAATCACAAAAAGGAGGCAAACCAAGCTAAATCAAGTACCATCTTTGACCGACACAATCCTGTAGAACACGTGTCCATCTGTTCCCGAGCAGGAGTGACTTGCAGACAAGATGGCCACTAGGGTTTCCGGTTTGACACTCCTGGACAGAGTCACCCTAGGTAGTCTCCCCTTGTTCCCGGTCATCCAGGCGAGACCGTGATTCATAACCGGCAACACCTTCAGAAAATATTATTGTTAGATAACTGCATGCTTTAATATATTAATGATTAATATGATTTGTGTAAGAATATATACAACATACCCTGTCGATCATCTCGTCGCAGCAGATTTGCAGCAGATCTACTGCTGGTTAATCTTTAGTGAGTGAGTGAGTATGGTTTTACGCCGCTTTTAGCAATATTCCAGCAATATCACGGCGGGATACACCAGGAATGGGCTTCACAGATTGCACCCATGTCGGGAATCGAACCCGGGTCTTTAACCACTAGGCTACCCGACCGCCCCTAGTTAACGTTTATAATAACTGTGTTCACCATGTGTATTCAAAGTGAGTGTGTGAGTAGGCACGTTTTTGACACCAAATATACCCCAGCATTACCAAGGCGGGAAGCACCAAGACTGGTCTTCACATATTACGCTCCAGATATACTGGGGAACTGAACCCGTGCATTTAGCTGACGAGCGAACGCATTACCTCCTTGGCTACTCAACCGCCTCTATATGAAGGAAAATACGATCTACACTGTAAACCCGTACATTCGTTTGGATTCCGGGTCAGAATTGTCCCATGGTCTGACCCCCAGACCCAAGATGATAAATTAAGAAAGGAATCCAACTCAAGTCTACACTGTACAATAGGTTTTTAGATCCCAACACAAAACTTAATACGTTCATTGTCCCATAATGTTGACATGTTTAGTTAGGTCTGAACATGTTGAGGGTTGTGTTTAACAGATAAACGTGTATGTTCATAAACACATGCTCGTGATATAGTCGGAATCGTACTATCGACTGGATATGGAAAGGGTTTTGTCGTTTTATATTCCATTTTGGTTGTTGTTAACTCAACAACTGGAGATTGACAAAGAAAATTAATGAAGACGCGTATACACATCTAGCTACTTTGATACGTATGCCTTAAATACGTATCTCTGATACGTATGCCTTAGACCCGTGAAGATTCCGGGGTAGAATAGGTCTTCAGCAACACATGCTTGCCGTAAAAGGCGACTATGCTTGTCGTAAAAGGCGACAAACGTGATCGGGTGGTCAGGCTCGCTGACTTGGTTGATAGATGTCATCGATCCCAATTGCGTGGATCGATGCTCATGATATCAATCACTGGATTGTCTGGTCCAGACTCGATTATTTACAGACCGCCGTCATATAGCTGGAATATTGCTGAGTGCGGCGTTAAACAACAAAACAGCCAACCAAACAACGTATGCCTTAATTGAAGATAATTTAAAATAGGGGATAATTCTATGTGTGATTTTTTTAACAATTAATGGGTATACAGAAGTAAAGGGAGGGCTTTGTTTAAATAGTAAAATTCTAAACACGTTTGAGCTTTAAATATGTTAACATGTATCAACATATTTAAACGTTCGTAAATTCTAAACATGTTTAGATTATGGGGATGTTGTGTTTAGGTAGTGATAACGCCGTGAGACGATAGCTCATTTCGTGTGTTTAGACCCTAAACTTGTTTAAATAAAACACACAAAAGGTGTATTCTGTTTTTTATTTAAACACACTGCTAAACATGTCTTGTTTGCGTTTACATTCTCAACACATTTTTTACAGTGTTAAATGGGTAGGCAAGTCTAGGCTGAAATTTTTAAAGCAATGTTCTTGGCTCCATTTGGATTTTATTTTTGTCATTTTGTAGATATATATTTTTTAATATGACTCATCTTTATTTCTGGGAGTAGATGTCAGTCTAATTGTTCGCCAGCAATATATGCTGGTTGTAGGAGGCGACTCTGGTGGCTGGCTCGCTGACGGCGGTGATTGCTGCTCAAAATATCAATCACTGGATTGTCCGATCCGGACTCGCTAACTGATAGGCCGTCGTTAAACAACAAACACATATACTTATGTTTGTTTGTTTATTGTTTAACGCCGCACTCAGGAATATTTCAGCTTAATGACGGTCTGTAAATAATTAAGTCTGGACCAGACACTCGAGTGATTGACAACATGAGCATCGATCCACGGAATTGAGATACGATGACACGCATCAACCAAGTCAGCGAGCCTGACCATCCGATCCCGTTAGTCGCCTTTTACGACAAGCATAGTCACCTTATATACATGTACTTATGAAAACAAATAAAATAGATAGACGTCGACGCAACATCAACGTGCACCTACTTGAACAATGACCGTTACTGTCGCCGTGTTCTGCCTCCCCATCTTTTGCCCATCCCTTGCCTCCACCTTCAGCGCGTAATGGTTCTGGACATCATAATTCAGCCGGTCAGTAGCACACACCAGCGTCCGGTCTTGCAGGTAGAAGACGTCACTCACGTCGGACAGGGCCAGACTTATGTTAGCGTCGGGATCAACGTCGGGGTCAGACAAGGTGAAGGTTATCAACTCGACCTCTGTGCAAATAAGTTGGTTCCATATATGGTCACATTGTACCTATAATTGTTACGATTGGCAATGTTGTTTCTGACCAAACAAACTTGATTCAGAGTGAGAAAAGGAATACGTTAGGTTACGACCCGTGAAGATTCCGGGGTAGAATAGGTCTTCAGCAACCCATACTTGCCGTAAAAGGCGACTAAGCTTGTCGTAAAAGGCGACTGACGGGATCGGGTGGTCAGGCTCGCTGACTTGGTTGATACATGTCATCGATGCCAAATGCGTGGATCGAGGCTCATGATATTAATCAGTGGATTGTCTTGTCCAGACTCCATTATTTACAGACCGCCGTCATATAGCTGGAATATTGCTGAGTGCGGCGTTTAACAACAAACCAACCAACCAACGTAAGGGTACAGGTTCTGCTACACCAAATGAGAATCAGAAGATTGAATGTAATTGAGATTTCTGGCAGCTGTAATTGGAGGATTTCGTGTAGAATTTAATAATATGTTTTTCAATATTTAATGACCATATCTTTTCAATATTAACATGATGACTAATATTGAATGTAACCACTGATATTTTCAAGCACAACATTTGTTTCGGAACTGGGGTTGGTGTGATTAGCTTTTATAATATAGCCAAATTGCAAGGCCTGACTGTGCATACATGTATATGTAATGGCTGTTGAATACCTGGCCACTTAAACATTATGACTTTGCTACAGAAATATGTTGGAAAACATTTGGTTTTGTGTAACCTACGCGTATAGCGTGATAGTTCAGCCAACGGTGACCTGGATATATACTGTCGGCCTGTTTCACGTATATGATACTTTGGAAATGTCCAAGAATCCACACAAAAATCATTAAGCAACTGCGCCTGGTTTATAGTATGATATGTAATAATGACATTATCTCATAGTTAATAACGATTGATTCATAGGTAATTGATCCCGTGGGACATCTTCCCGAGGCAAGGGAGTTAACCTACTGGAATTTTAAGTCCAGTGTCCATCTTCCCGACGTAAGGGAGTTAACTCAGGAAACTAGACTTTCATAGTCAGTTACCTCCCTTGCCTCGGGAAGCTGCCCGTGGGTATTCCAGGTTAGAAGAGGTACCCAGCAACCTATGCTGGTCAGAGGAGATCCAATAAATCAGGTGACTTGGTTGAAAAAATGTCATTTACAGGCCGCTGTTATACAGTGCCGAGTGCGGCGTTGAAACAAAGAAAGAGTTTAGAGCCCATAATTATGCACCCAGCGATTGCTTTGAATTATCCAACAGCCTACACAGAATAAATGTTTTTGTCAGTTATTGCTCATGGTTCAATCTGGTAATGATTAACAGTATTATTTTAATCAAGTTTAAACTTTTGACACACATGAAAGACACATTTAATGATGACCAAAAGATTTCACTGTAGCGATATCTGGATTCAACTTAGTACTTATTTTTCACAAGCATTGAAGCACAGAGATGGGATTGATTATATTTGAACTTCAACGTTTTCAATATTCCTTGTCAGTGATTGCTGGTGATTATCGGGATTTTAATTTTTCTTCTTCCCACATCCTAAACACATGCCGGTCCTCTGTTTTGTCTGACCCGGGGTTAAATGCCTGTTCGTTAATATATTAAAGGCAGGTGGCTGATCAGAATTAATGTGTTAGGCTACATATATATGTTCTCATGCAATGGCGTGAGTGTGAGTGGCGGGTGCTGCCGATAGAGCGGGACATCACTGATTTAAGTAACCCATATATATATACATGCAATTGTCACCGCTATTTTGCCTATTTGGCGTTGATGTTATCTATTCGCAGTACAGGTTACTTGTATATTCTGAATGAACATTACACTTTATTTGTTGTATGCCATACATCAGACGTTACACATGAGCCACACTAGTGATATATTGAACATTCGACAATATATAACAGCTTAAGTAATCTCTGCTTTTAAAATAAGAATTAAACGTTCCCAGAAGTGGTTTAAGGATTATATGAATGTGTTAGATTAGAGTTTAAATGCCACAAATGACTAGAATAGCTTTGATTGTGTATTCCAATGTACTGAATGTGCATACGTGTACGGGCGTGTTACAACTGCGAGGGTCTCTATTATTCCAAAACATTTTATTGACTTTAATACCAAATACAACAGGCGCCGTACCGATGTCCTTCGCATAGTTTGTACACGCTTTGTAGTCAGTTGATTAAAATTGATTCCCCCCTCCTTTTCGCGAACACCTGGTACCATCACTATTTGATCGCGATTCATGAACACATGATGTTGATCCCTTTATGTGCATGTATAATGTTTATGATCGCGTTCTCAATGAAATGATGTTTCTATTGCTCATTCAAGCAAAATATGACATCACTATTGCAATTCTTAACCGATGTCAAGAAAAATGGTGGACATATCATGTAAACTGAACGGAAACCAATTTATCGGGATTAAAATAAATCAAGTAATATAACTTTGCAAATAAAAGATGAACAGCTGAGAAGAATAAAGATGCACTGCATTTCTGGGAATAAATGAGTTGAAAGCCCTCGCGAGCACCCATCTCGCTAGACGAAAGCCGTGGAAAACATAGCGTAACATATACAACGCATAGAACCGTATTCGACGTAATAAGCGCCCAGGGCGCTCCCAAAATTAAAATAGGGGGCTCTTATTAAAATATAATTTTGGTGAAAGGAAACAGAGTTGAAAGATCGTAAATTTCGTGTTTTATGCTGACAGCCTAAAATGATACAAAAGAGAAGTCTGTGCGTATTATACACGACAGATATATTTTCCAGATGTTAATTCCCCATAATTAAGGGCGCATATAACACACGATTGCGTATTATACACGAATAAATAAGTGTACATTGATCATTCGAAAGGGGTGCTAATTGGGATTGTTCACTAGCCAATATATTAGCAAATATCGCCGTGGGCGCTTGTTAGAGCGAAGCGCTTATTACGTTGAATAATATAGTTTTTCGGCTGGTCGAGGAACGTGTAAACATGCCCGTGAAGAGTTGGAAACCAGAACGTACACGTACCTCCACTGCTGGCCTCGCTTATGTTGATGTGGTACTCGTCCTGGAGAAAGGTGGGTGGGTTGTCGTTGATGTCACTGACGATGACGATGACAGCCGTGGACGTAGTGTGACCCACAAGATCCGACACGACTACAGTCATGTTGGCGACGTATGCCGTCACTGACAACACCTCTAGATCCACTGTCTGTCTCATGTACAAGAGACCAGTATTTGGGTCGACAGAAAAGTATGATGAATCATGTTCTGCAGAAAATAGATAAATATAATAAATTCTAACCTGGTTCAGGATTTACAATTTCCATAGAAGCGGTTGCATATTAAATCCTAACATAAGCCCCTTTTCACCAAAATAAATAAACATGATTTTTACTCCCCAATAAGCTTTTTGGGGGGTTTCGTAATAGCGATTGAGTATGTTGGGTTAACTTTGAACAGTATTCCAGTTATATCACGGCGTGTCAGCTTTATGTGAGAGGAAAGCCCGATGTGATGCAAGTGACAGACGTTTGTGAAACCCACGAGCAGGGGTATGGTGGTCACAAACCTAGAAACATAAACGGGGCGAAGCGAGATTCGAGCCCACGAACATAGGTTTATTGCGTGCCCAAGGGACGCAACTCTGTACAGCGAATTGCGGCGCCTAAGACGACTGGTCCATCCGTGTCCACTGTTTAATAATATCTGATGTGTACCAACATCACTTAATCACAATCGGAGTATTTCATATTTTCTCTATCTTTCTGCTTATTTACTTATTGAGATGCCTTTATTGATGTGACAAGAGGTACAATGTGCGAAGTCAATTTCTGGTGTCATCGCCGTGATATTGCTGGAACATTGCCAAAAGTGGCGTAAAACCTCACTCACTCACTCACTCACTCACTTGGTTTAAGACACAATTATTTACATGCTGTTGGTTGCTGACTGCCTTGTAAAACAACAATCACTCATTGACTCACTGATACTGTTTATTTAACGGAGAATTGGCATATAAATAACATGGACGTCATAGCTCCCGTATGAGTGAGTGACCGAGAATTTTTCGCGCCACTTTTAGCAATATTCCAGCAATATCACGGCGGGGAGACACCAAAAATGGGCTTCACGCATTGTACCCATGTTGGGAATCGAACCCGGGTCTTCGGCGTGACGAGCGAACGCTTTAACCACTAGGCTACCCCACCGCCCCAGGTCCCGTATGATATCACGAGGAGTAAGTGAGTTGGTTTTAACGTAGTTTTGAACAGTATTCCAGTTATATCACGGCGTGACAGCTTAAAGTGGGACTATTCCATAAAGACATGTACAAAGTAATCTCATAACTATTTCAAGTTGAAGGTTTATATATCGCATACCGATAAGAGAGAACGTAATCTTGTCATGGGTGTCCACATCACGGGCCGAGGTTATTGCACCAATTATACAGCCTTCCGGTAGTTGCTCCGGTATCTCTATGGGGTCAATTCTATCCACTTCCGGGGCATTGTCATTAACGTCAGTAACTATGACAGTGAGGTGAGTGACCGATGCGTACGACCCATCAGACGCTCTGAAATAAACATCAGCCAGAACATTTAAAAAATGCTTTTCTCTTGAATATTAAATAAATTGACATGCAAATATAACATGGCGTCATTATGAAATTGTTAATTGCTTGCCTTATTTGCACGTTGTACAATGACTGTTCTTCGAAGTCCACGGGGTTCATGAGAACGAGGCTCGAACCTGCACATTTGAATGTGTACGAGTGTTCCCCCACAACAGAAAACAACACAATGTCCTTGTCCTGGTCAGTGGCCTTCAGGTCGAGTATCACCTACATGAGAATACATCACAGTACATCAGAGTACATCACAATACATCACAATACGCGTCGTCTGCAGGTCAGATACTAAAGGGTATCAACCTGGCAAAGTGAGTGAGTGAGCAAGGGGCTTCGGCGCCTTATTGAATACATCAAAATACAACAGGTCATCTTCAGGGGAGATTCTAAAGGGTATCAATCTGGTCAGTGAGAGACTGAGGCCTCAATGCCCTATTGAATATGTTACACATATCATGGCTTAAATTTGTCAGTTGCGCATCGAAGGAAAAACCCAAAGTGATTCAATCCTAGACATCCACAAAATTGAGCATCCAAATATTTGATGAAAGATAAATCTGGGATTCAAACCCACAATCAAACGATCTTGGTACTGATAGGGATGCAATTCTTCAAAACAATTTGCGGCGTCTTGGACCACTTGCCCCCCCCCCCCCCCCCAAACTTGGTCAAATCGTAATGAAAAAATATGTCTGTTAGATCGAGGCACCTACACACCTTTCGTACATCTGTGTTTTCTGGGACCTCCACCGTTGAGCCACCGTATGGCCGCGGGAACACGAACAGAGGAGCATTGTCTGAGGAGATTAAACACACAACCTAAACGTCAGAAGTCAACCTTCCACGCTGTCACAGGTCCTGGCAGTTTTGTAAAAGGGGGGATATTATTTCAGTCACTGCTTTATTCCTTTATAACCTTATAACTTTATAACTCTCCCAAATGGAAGAGTCGGACAAGTTTTTCACGACATATTCTTTATTCTTGAGGCAAAAGTATGGTTTCCCAGTATCGCCTGGGAGGTGAGGTGAATTGGGTTTAACGTCGCGTCCAAGATTATTGCACTTATATAGCGACGTGTATGTACGTGTATGCTTGTACTAGTCCGGACTGATGCCGATTTATAGTGCTAGCCCACAGAGATACCATGCCGCAGTTTAACATGAATACCCCACTCAGACACAGTATACTGACTCCGAGCCGACCAGTCCTTGTTTTAGCCCCTTAATGCCGAGCGCCAGACAGGGTAACAACAAGTACCATCTTTTAACGTCTTTTGGTATGACGCGGCTGGGGATCGAACCCCGGACCTTCCGCTCTCCGGGCGGACGCTCTACCACGGAGGCGGTGTATCGCCTGGGACCAATCCTGATCTTACCTAGCAGAAATCTCCATTCCACCCGGTTCGCCTGCCCCCAGAGTGTAAGGAAGTTGATGAGGAACGGACGTGGTGTTCTCAGTTTCATGAGCGGGTTCCGAAGTACCTGCGGACCACTCCCTAAACCCAGTCCTCCGTTTCCATCCCAAGCTAGCCAGAACGTCCGGAAGGTGGAACAATAGAGCCATCGTCCTGTTGACTTGGTTGATGGCTTATTGCAACTCTTCAGACAGCTGTCTCGGATGCCGTTCACGTTGGCGTTTGGGGTCGCCCCCAAGATAACCAAGAAAAACCGTTCGTCTGGTTTATTAAACCGGTGCTTCTCAGACAGGATAAAATATGCATCGGAACACGCCTTGATCTGGAAAACCAGGGAATTCTTGCCAGTGATTGGCACACCTCTCTCATTCATGGTGATGATCCTGTGCTGGGTGTCTGTCTCTGCCTGTATGTAGGTGCCTAGAGGGGGAGGAAACACTCAGTTACTTGAAGACTTGGTGACTTGTTTGAAACGGGTACCGGCATCTATGGCGTTTGTTTGTTGTTTAACGATGCACTCAGCAATATTCCAGCTATATGACGGTGGTCTGTAAATAATCGAGTCTAGACATCATGAGCGATACACGTAATTTAGATACGATGACATGCATCAACCAAGTCAGCGAACCTGACCACCCGATCCCGTATGTAGCTTCTAATGACAAGCATAGTCGCCTTTTATGGCAAGCATGGGTTTCTCAAGATCTATTCTAACCCGGATCTTCACGGGTGCATCTGTGCCGAATCTCGTTGCATTAAATACAAAAGAAGTTGAAACCTGACACTCAATGCTATCTTCTAAATACCACTTAAAGCTTGATTGAGTTTGTTTGTTGTTAAACGCCGCACTCGCAATATTCCGGCTACATAACGGCGGTCTGTAAATAATCGAGTCTGGACCAGACAATCCAGTGATTGACATCATGAGCATGGATCCACGCAATTGGGAGACGATGACATGCATCAACCAAGTCAGCGAGCCTGACCACCCGATCCCGTTAGTCGTCTCTTACGACAAGCATGGTCGCCTTTTACGGCAAGCATGGGTTGCTGAAGACCTATTCTTCCCCGGATCTTAACGGGTCGTTTGATTAAGATACCTCGAGGTCGTTACTAGGCAATTCACAAAACAAATCACAACTAATGTATAACTTGGTTGTTTACTTGACAACATATATTTTTTGCAAATCTAACATCCCAGACTTTTACAACCAAACCATGAACGGGCATACAGGACTCCTAGCGAGTTGACAACATTTAAGACTTCGTATATGAAATCGGTGTAAAATATCTTGTTAGGCAAAGAGGTGGCAATTCCTAAGGAACAAAATATTGAGTGATGTTATCAGACATTATCATTCTATATTAAAAACTACCTACAATTGGGTAACAAATAGGTATCATATGAAATAATAATACTATTAGGAATTATTACAGGCATGTACTGTCTTCCATAGAAGATTCTTCGCTTTAATGTAAGAATCAGGAATTCAAGCAGTATGGTTAATAAAGTAATAATAATATTAACTAATAATATTGTTCTTAAAATAACTACTCAGCTGTGTGGAATACACGGAATCATTCACGACATAAATACATATTATGTTTGCTGTGTAAAGCACGGTTCAAATTGAATTAGGAACCAACGTTTGTTTGTTTGTTGGTTTGTTTGTTTGTTTGTTTAAGGACGCACTCAGCAATATTCCTGCTATGTCTGGACCAGACAATCCAGTGATTGACATCGATCTACGCATGACCTGCATCAAACAAGTCAGGGAGCCTGACCACCCGATCCTATCAGTCGCCTCTTACGATAAGCAAGGCTAGCTTGAGACCAATTCTAACCCGGAATCTTCACAGGTCTTGGAACCCACGTACCTGCAAGTATAGGCTCCGTGAAGATGGAGACAAGGTAGATGAGTAAACACTTCTTCATATTTCAGGATTCAAACTACATAAATGTGCACTTCAATCTAGTATCCATACATGCTCGCCACATGTGTATATGTCTCCACGCCAAACTAGCACCTATAGCGCGGACTATCGTCCCAAACAATATCATGTCATTAATACGTACTACTGCGTTATGGTTATGGCTTATGGTTTGGCTGTAGCCTTGTTGGAGAACCATCAAGATCTGTATCAATATACACTCAGGGTACATAGGTATAATGAGTAGGCTGTTGAGGTTAAGAGGTGCATGTATGACACTAATGTCACAAGCTTATGGCAATGTGGTATTGGATTTATTATACCTTCTCTGCAATTCTTTCGACACATCTGTTGAAATTGAAGTAAGTGAAGGGTATACCATTTGATCGTCGATTGGGTATTTTCCTGATAATATAAAGTATAGCGTGCCCGGATATGTTACCATGTTGTACCTCAAGAGCCAGCTACACCGGTTCAGAAAGAAATGACTATCCATTAAAGGCTCACTGCAATCGCAGCAATCTGAAATGACATAATTGTTATCTGATAGAGATACCAATGTGGCTATACGAACATATGTTTTGCTCATACAGTACCGAAGGTCCATTCATATAAATGTCACCGCTAGTTTACCTTTTACCACCAGTGGAATCTGCTTCTCTGCTTCTTTTATATTTAACTTGGAGATAATGAGTGAGTGAGTGAGTTAAGATTTGACGTCACATCGGCAATATTTCAGCCATACCGTGACGAGATAAAGTTAAACATGGACAACAAATATATTTAAGAGTGCAAAAAACCTGTCTCCGAAGGACAGTACAATAACTAGACTTTCACAGATTTGAGGTAAAACTTGTTTGAGAACATGTAAAAGAATGTCAGCAGTAAACAACACTATAGAAAGGGCTACAGATTGCCAGCAACCAAAATGTTAGGCCACCGCTAGAGATCGTCGGGACTTACGATACTTCTGCTACCTGCGGGGCGGTCGGGTAGCCTAGTGGTTAAAGCGTTCGCTCGTCACGCCGAAGACCCGGGTTCGAATCCCGACATGGGTACAATGCGTGAAGCCCATTTGTGGTGTCCCCCGCCGTGATATTGCTGGAATATTGCTAAAAGCGCCGTAAAACTATATTCACTCACTCTGCTACCTGCACGGTTCGCAGCAGGACTTACCCCATCCCTTCAGCTGCTGGCTACGATTGCCATCAATTAAAATAACAAATTAAAACAATTAAAATCAAGGTAGGAATAACATACTTTGAAAGACATGTTCTTACAATACACTTTCAGGGGGACAATAATTTTAAAACACTTCAACCCCCGTCAAGGGCACAGCCATAAACATTCAAAAATCATACACTATCAATTTACAAGAAACACCAATTTACATCAAAATGTATCAATAAGTTCAATTTCTTTTTTAAAAAAACAATAATTAAATTAGAGCTAATATTGTTTAAAAGATCCTTTAGCGATGAAACTATTGATCCCTTGTGATGGAAAAATCAACACAATCAAGCAGGACATGCTTGACCGTGATTCTCTCATCACAAGGGATACAGAATGGAGGGTCTTTACCTTTTAATAAATATGCGTGGGTATATCTGCTGTGGCCAATACATCGTTGTAAAATGACATCTTCAAATCTGGACTTATAACCCAAGTAGGTGTAACCGATATTTGGTTTGATTTCACTTTGACTTATTTATACCTACTTGGCTGTCCCACTTCTTTGCATGAGATCTCGGATGTAACATCTTATCACAGATTTGTAATCACTGTATGGGATAAGAAGTGGTATCACAGATTTGTTGAGTGCTGCTTTTACATCAGCATCAGCCATTGTTAATCCGTTTATGCTCACGTGACTAGGCAACCAACAAAAGAAGATGTGGTATTGGCCAGTTGAAAGATCATTATAAAGTTCTAAAGTAGATGATATATTTTTTTACATGCGGACTGTCGTTGAATGTATGCCAAGTCTGTAAGGATAGATTGAACGGTGGGTGTCGTATTTATTTATTAATTGTACATATTCCTGTTGATATACTAGTTGATTTGTGTCAGATTTTATAAAACGGGCTATGGAAACGTCTACTTCTGGCCAGGGAGGAGTAAACGTGAGCTGATATGGAGAAATGATATATAGATATATTTGATCCGAATTCCAAGTCGGGGAACCAGCTTTGGTTTTCTGAAATGAAACTTCTTCATATAGGGGATGAAAACGGAGTCATAGGCAGAATTAGAAGGATTGGGGTGTAATTTAGTGATATATTGAAGGGGAAATTAAACGGCGTTGTTTCAGAGAAGGTTCATTAGCTCCGACATAGAGGCTGTCAACAGGAGAAGTTCTAAACGCACAGTCTTAGTCCTTGGTGGTGGATTGAATCTAGCTTTTTAAAATTACTCTTGCAAGCTCCAGCATACACAATGGAGCCATAGTCCAATTCAGAGCGGATTAATGATCTATATAAGTGAAGGAGACTTGTCTGATCCTCTCTCACTTAGAATTCGAGACGAGTTTCAACAAATCTAGGGTCTTTAAATATTTAATATGTTGCAAAAACGTCAAATGGCGGTCGAAAATCAAACCCCCAAATTAGGCTACTTTTACAACCTTAATTGCAGTGTCATCTAAAAGGAGCTCTGGGTCTGTATGGGGTTTATATTGCCGACAGAAATGTATACAATTGGTCTTGGTCTGTGAAAACGAAATGCAACTCTCAAGACACAACTGTAATTGTCTTTCAATGGTACGTTTATTTTTACGACATGAAATATTAATATAATCCACAAACAATGACCCACCAATTGAGTTATTTAATACTTTATATAAACTTTTTATTTTTATACTAAACAATGTGACAGACAAAATACTGCCCTGTGGAACCCCTGATCCTGATTATAATGATCAGACATGGTTGATCCAACACGAACTTGAAATTGTCTGTCTGTTAAAAACTGCAATATAAATTGATGCAAGTGGCCTCTTAAACCAAAGTCATTTAAATCTTTTAAAATACCATGCTTCCAAGTGGTATCATACGCTTTTTCGAGATAAAAAAGATAGATACAGCATATTTTTATTTTACAAAGCATTTTTAATAAATGATACTAAACGAACCAAATGGTTAATTGTACTTCGGCTTTTACGAAAACCGCATTGGATATCACTGATTAGATTGTTGGTTTCTAAAAAAAACAACTAATCGATTATTTACCATGCGCTCCATGGTTTTACAAACACAGAAATAGGTCGATAATTTGATGGATCTGTATGATCCTTGCCAGGCTTTGGTATGGGTACGACTATGGCATTTGTCCATGAAGGAGGAAAATGTCCTGTTGTCCAAATATCATAAAAAATATTCAGTAGTGTTGCGAGACAAGATTCAGGCAAGTGTTTTAAGAGTTGATAATGAATATCATCAGCACCAGTTGCAGTATCATGAGCTTGTGCCAAAGCAGTGTATAGCTCATGTAGTGAAAACACTTCATAATAATCTTCGCCATTGTCAGAATTAAAATTTATTTTTTTTCCTCTCTTGTTGATTTTGATACTTCTGAAATTTTGGATTATAATATGACAAAGAAGAGTGTTTAGCTAAAGTTAAACCCAACTTATTTGAAATATCAGATAATTCAGTCAATAAAGTATTGTCATCTTTGAGATGATAAATACAAGATTTGGAACCTTATTCTTCCAAGTCTGACGCTTTAGTGTGTTTTAAAGTTCGTCGAGCCTTGGCATAATTGATTTTCACATTATTTAAATTATGAACAGTAGGATGGCGTCGGAAGTATTTCTCCGCCCTCTTCCTACGCTTCCTAGACTGTGTGCATTAGTCATTAAACCATGGTTTGCTTATATGTGGGCTCACAGATGACCTAGAAATAGTTTCATCCACTTTGCCAGAGAACAACTGAATTGGGTCAGGAACATCCATAGAAAGGTATTGTTGCAATTTGTCTGTACAGATCGTCTGAAATAATGTCCAATTGGCCTAGAGAAAATACCATCGTGTTGTGGGTGGATCATCGGTGGGGTGTATAGTTGTAATTACTGTCGGAAAATGGTCACTGCCATAAAGGTCATCATGGAGTGACCATTCAAATTCATTATGTATGTTTGAATCTGTGATTGACAGATCCAAAGCAGAGTGTGTTCCAGTTGCAGGATGTAAATATGTGTTCGAGCCATCGTTGAATATGCATAAATTGTTACTTGAAATAAAATCTTCGAGACGTTTTCCTTTATTGTTAGTAACGGAACTTCCCCATAGAGGGTAATGTCCATTCAGATCACCCATGATGATACAGGGCTTAGGGAGCTGGTCAAATAAATCCTGAATATTGAACTGCTATAGATTTGAAGATGGAGAAATATACAAGGAACAAAGTGTGACGGTTATTTGTAAAATGAGACAGACAGCAACAGCATGAAGGTTGCAGATTAGAGGAACAGGGCTGTGGATTATGCCCTGCTTCACCAAAATGGAAGCATCACTGGGTGGTGAAAAGAATGATAAGAAAGATACTGACGCATTTTAAAGTCATCATTTTGTTTGATATATGTTTCTTGTGATCTAAATGCTGACGGTTGAAAATATTGTGCTAATAATTGTACTTCATTAAAATTGTTCCTAAGTCCTCTGCAATTCCTCTGAATTAAATTAGGAGATTGCCTCATGGAGGTTCTATGGGGGAGCTTTCACGTGAAGGGGGTGGATTCCTATTTCTGAGTTCTGAAGATGGCGCCACTTCCATCTGCTGAGGGTCAAAGGACTTACGAACCTCTACAGTAGAGGGGATTTGAGATTGTTGTCTACGATTTAGATGCTTTCTTTGTTGTTTTTGGACAATTCAACATATATATCATCATCAACCGCTGGTTGGATAACTTCAGGTTGTAACTGACTCACTGTCTGAGACGAAGATGTTGCCACGTTGGGCTGACTGTCAGAAGTAGTAGGCACAGCAACAGGTATCACTGGTTGG